TGTGCGCATATGTCGGATAGACGGAGGGATGGTGGATAATATAATGATGGCGTCGGCTTGGAAAGGAGGGGCGGGGCTACGAGGGGATCAATATTATCCTCCTCCACCTCCACCTCGGCTCTCCTCCTCCGAACCCCGCTCCTCGCCTACTCTGGCAACCTTCCCTCGGGTATTCCCCTCGTTCCTCTAGTTCGCCGCCACCATCGTCGTCTCCACCCTACAACGTCGACCTTCTCTCCCCTCCACGAACCGTTCCTCCTTCGCCTTCGCGTCCTCACCGACGCCTCTCGTCTACTTCTTAAGGGGGGATTTCCTATCAGCGTCAGACTCGTCTATCTAACGTTTGCGTCAGACGTCTCTATACTCGCCCAATGAAGACACATGTCTTTGTTTTCTTTTCAACGTTTTTCAACGCACTCGATACCGGTACGCACCGTCCGACGACTTACGTCTCAAGCTACTTCTGCTAGCCTACCTCCTTGCCAGATGAACTCTCTCTTATCTTTACGAAAAGAATTATTCATTGACTATTTACTCTCAAACATTACTGATTTCACATTCCAAAAAAGGATACAATATTCTACCCGATTCAATTGGTCGATTATAGTATTTATTTGAATATTTCCAATTTTAAGGGATGCTCGACATGTCGGCAAAGAATGCTCTTCTATACTATTACTGTTTTATTATTATTTCACCTTCCAAAACAGGATACAATATTCTACTCGATTCAATTTGTCGATTATAAAGTATTTGCTTCAACATTTCAAGTTCTGATGCACACTCACCACGTGGACAAAGAATGACTTTGTATACTATTACTCGGTACGAATATTACCTATCTCTATTATCCCATTCAACTGCGAATTGTCCATATGGCAGCCACGATTCCTCGTTCGCGAAGAACGACAGGTTTTACAGTCCTGTATGTTTTGGGGAAAGCGTTCGATCGTGGTCGTTGCTTCTGGGTAAGAGCAGACGTCGAGGGTTGCATTTCTGCATGAAAATATTCGATTTCCCGTTGGTGGGGCATTTCGTCGAATATACGGGTCGTTGGGACAGAAGGAGAGAATTGAAATGTGAAACGATTGGAACGTCGAAGTGTGGCGAATTTCTAGAGGTCCTATTCAGTGGTACACTTTCGGTACCACGAGTTTTGAAAGGGTGAGAAGCTTTGACACTTTGGCAGAATTTTCAAAAGGGACATTGACGCCGTTAAATAAAGAATACATCCGAGAAAATATTCAAAATTTGATTTATTCAGAATAAAATTCTCTGCGAAATTTAAAATGTTTCATTGCAATAAAATTTCTCTGAGAAACCCCTAGAGAGACCCCTATGCAAAGAAAATCGAATGGTGTTTGTAAATTTCCCGTTAATGGAGCCGCTTACGTAGTAAAACGAACCTAAATAGCGTAGCTGGCAAGGAGTTGTACGAAACGAATCGCGTTTATCCGATTGTTCAGGGCCCGATGTTAAGTCACGGGATTACCTCGTGTGGGGCAGCGTTTTCGGGGGTGTCTATATAATGTCCGACCGTATACGTGGCGGAAAAGAAAACCAAGGGATGGTGCACGAGTTGGGGAAGTGGAGGTCGGTGTGGAGGGGGTTGATTGATGAGGTAGGCCCGGTCACGGTCTCATTACATTTATATAACCTTTCGTAGATTGAGCCGTGCGCGGAGGCTTACGCGGTGGCGAGGGGTCGTGATTTGATGAGGTTTTCTTGCTTGGATGACGTGACGGGATCCATTGTTCAAGCGGTTGTCGAGCGGAAGACATTGGATTCGATTTATGGGGTTTGCTCTATTCGAACTGTAGCGTAACGTGGAGCCGTTCGACAACCATCTTTGAAACGACTGAGCTTCGAATCCTTGAACCTTAACCCTTTGCGGTCTCGTGCAACTTTACGTCGCGTCTTGTTCTGCTAAGTCACTGGTAATCCCTTAGCAGATATACTAGACATATTCCCTACTTCCCAATGTCATGTATGTGTGGACTTTATTTATACGTGTACCGATATAATTACATAGTAATAGATTGAATAATGTCCTCCAAAAGTTATATTTATAAAAATAGATATTAAAATTATATTATATAGCTTTACATACTTCCTGTTTCACTGCTTGACTGATAGCTTCTGGTTTTCATTTATATTTTACCACCATTTTACCTTAAAACGCATGAATTTGGTTACACAATCGATTACATTATTTTATTCATAGATCAACTGACTATTTTTCACACAAGAAGCCACGATTTCGATTCGCATTCGTATTTTCTCTGTAAACAGGTATGAAACAATACAGCACGTGCTCGGCTGGTAGCTTTCAGGTGTCTCTCGCGCCTATTACAAACCCACGCGTATCGTTACCGGGCTCTCCGGTGTCGCCATAATCTCCCATTCATTTTCACTCGAGCTCTCCTAAATTTCCGTGAAATCAAAAACTAGAGAGCTGGGAGCACGCGTGGCGCCAATCGTCGTCTCAAAATTGCCCTGGTACGCCGGCTAATCCGTCGACTTCTGTCTTGGCTTGCACGATCGGAAAGTTCATTCATCAAGTTTATGAGCCACTGGTCCCGGCAACGAGCTCGACCACGACCAAGCCTGAGATTCTCCGCGATGCTGTTAAAGTTTATGGGCGCGGCCTTGTGTGTATACCAACGACTCGCGCGCGCCTTCCCAGAGTTTATTGATTCTCGAGCCACGGCATCTTTCGCCCTGCCGTTCTGCCCTATCGAGTTTACTTCCCCTCTTGGCTTACCGTCGCCCCGTGTCATGTCTACGGGGTTGCTTCGTGAAATCCAATGATGTTCCTCGCGGAGGAAAAGTTTGGTTATACGGCCGCCACCGACGGGAAATATTTTTTCGTCCTCCGTCGTATCTTCGCCTTCTTGCTGGGATTCCCTTTCCTGAAAGAAGGAAGACGATTGCGTTTCGCTCCCGCGATATAACGCAACGTTTCTTGAATTCCGTTTCGCGTTTTGGTCAACGAGTCCGAAAATCATAATTGTCGCGTTTGGTGAATTTCATTCTCGATTTCGAAGGGGACATTTTTCCTTGGGAAGTTGTGTATTTATTTTCCTCGGTTCTATCGACTGTACTAGATTCATTTTTTTTAGAAAATGTACAAACATATTTTCCCATGTTTAATAAACAAAGAGGAATCTTCTCTGATCATCGTCGTAAGCTACTCGTGCCACCATCCTGGTTAGCACTAATCGATAAAGAAAAGGGTTCTTCGAGCCATTAATTCCATCGATCCGAGAATCATAACCGTCACGGAAGGTCAAGAAGCGCGCAGCGACTACGACTAATCGCGAAAGGAAGGGCATTATTCTTCATTAGCCGGTCTTCTTCCCCACTTTCAATGACTCGTCGCGCCTCTTAGCGTCTCCACGTTCGCGGGCCCATCCATCTTGCGGAGGATCCTCCCTCCCTCGCCGTTTTCCACCCTCGATATCTTCCTTCCGTTCTTCCTTCCTCTCTTTTTCGAGGTGGATAGCTCCGCGCGAACCCTCCTCGGTATTCTGACGCTCGTTGCCTTACAGTTACGCGAGAGCGACGTGTATCTAAGTGCAACCACCCGTATAATTGTCGAGGGGCGAACAGGCAGGGCGTCACGGGAAAAAGCAACGCAAGGGAAGGAGACGACGAACGGGCTGAGAGATATGGCGTCGAGGTTGAAGGGCGAATTGGAACGGGAAGAGGGTGGAAACGGCTGACGAGGTTCGCCCTCGTACGGTATCGAACCGCGAGAGAGGGCCGCCTTGAATTAACGCCGTCATATTTCAGGATGGAGGAGCCGGGGTTTTCTTGCCATTTGTCTCGGGCCTAGCCTTCCGCCGCGCAGAACCACCTTTGCTTTTCCCTGTTGGTACATGAGTAATACCAACAGGGAACTCGCGAAATCTGGCACGCTTAGACGAACCAACGTTTCCTATCTTCTTCTTGGAACCGTGGCGGTTTGACGCGTTCGCTGTCATGGTGGTCAAGAGTTTAAGATCAGTAAGAAAGAATCTTAAAAATACATGTTCTCATAACGAAGGAGACTAGAGTTGGGGATTCGAGTACATCGCCTTGGTGAATATGGCCTTGGTGAAGTTGTCCTTGGACCTCGAGTGAGGTAAGACTTTGGGTCCCATGGTGGTCAAGAGTTAAAGATCAGTAAGAAAGGATCTTAAAAATACCAGCCCCCTCGCGTCACGAGTCTCTCGAAGCGAAAAGTAAAAACTCGTGATGGGGACAGGCGAGGAACATTCCACGATAAATTACGGCCAGGTTTGATTAAGAAACATGACTCCTTGTATACACGGTTCGGTGGTGGGAGTCTTTTTTGATATAGTGCTATTGCTTTCTCGGCGGACTCGTAATGATTTCGCGCCAGATTAGATAAGATAATTATCTTTAATTGTTGTAATCGGCAGCATTCTTTCATTTCTTTATGCGCGTCATGATTTCTTGCGAAAAGATACGTGTCATGTTTTCATGAAAATGTTCAATTATTAATCGAAGAGCCAAAGTTGACACGAATACACGTATTGCTTGGATTGACCAGTAAAGACTTTGCTATTCATCCATAGAATCTCACTAAAAACCAGACTGCGAATATTTACAAATTATACAAAAATATACAAGAATGTAACCAAATGCATAAATATTTTATTGTATACATGTTACACTACTTAATATACAAAATATACTTTAACTCTTTCTAGCCTAGTGGAACATACATGTCCCAGTGAACATATCTGATTGCCATTGGATAAATTACAATTTAGACTCACCGAGACATATGTTGAACAAGAAATGAACATCATTTATGCTAGGACAAATGATGCCTAGCCAACTTTAGTTTAATACAATTAATTTCTTAAAGAGAAACCAATAGAATTCAACTGAAAATCGTGAAAAATTGCATACACATCCGCAGTCTCTCGACAAAGAACGACCATCCCATCGCGACTCACACCTAACAGAACACCCTCGTCTGTCCGCAGGTATGGTTCAAAAACAGAAGAGCGAAATGGCGGAAGAAAGAGCGGAACGCGATAAACGCGGCAGCGGCAGCGGCGGCGGACTACAAGACGGGCTTCAGCACGGCCAGCTTGAACGGTTTCATCAGCCAACCATTCGCCGACCCTGACGCGCTTTACAGTTCGTACAGCGCGTACAACAACTGGACGGCCAAGGTCCCGTCTCCCCTCGGCAGCAAGAGCTTTCCCTGGGTGAATCCTCTAGGGTCCGTGGTGCCTACAGCGTCGCACCACCACCATCACACCCAGGTGAACCCCGTGAACTGCTTCAACGCGGCGGCGACGTCCGTCGCTGGTAGCCACATGGGCGGGATGTCGGTTTCCGTAGGCCAGGCAGCCACATCCATGTTACCAGGGATGGGATCTGGCCTAGGTGTAGCTGGTTCACCAGTGGCAGCGTCCGGAGCAGCGTGTCCTTACGCGACACCTGCTGCTCCTCATCACCCTTACGGACCTCCAGTCTACACTCCGCACCATAGAACAGCCGCAGCCCCGGAGATGACGTCGAGTAGCATCGCCTCGCTACGGTTGAAGGCCAGGCAGCACAGCAGTGGGTACAGCGGCCTCAGCGGCAGTTCGTTCAGCATAGAGAGTACGCCTGTCTCAGCATCTGGGAGTCCAGTTAGTTCCAGAGCGTCGTCCGTGGGAGGAGGTGGAGGACTAAGCGCGTGTCAGTACGCTCTGACGACGACTGGCGAAGCGAATCCGCATTCGCCTGGAAGCGCAGAGGCCCACGTGAACGCCACCGCCAGGGCTCAAGTCTGAGGTGAAGCGGGGGCTACGTCTAGCCCCCATCACCACACCGTGACCGGGAATTCTGGAAGCTCATTGGCCGGCTCTGGTAGTTCGCTGGGCGGCGACAGCCAGGTGGTGCCCGTCGGATCCGCGCCAGGTGTGTCTGCCAATCAGCAAAACGACAATCAGCTGAGATCGCAAGAGTGACCCAGGCCTCGGTCCGCCGCCTCGCCGACCTTGTCCTCGAGCCCTTCGTCGACCACCTCCCACCCACCTTACCTCATGTACGACGAAGACGGAGCGGCGGACCAGAAGATGGAGGACGACAGAAGCGTGATAGAGACGGAGGGCATCAGCGGCGAGCAGGTCGTCTCGACCGCCGGCGGAATAGGCGTCGGCGTCGGGATTGGAATCGGTGGTTCCGGAACTACCACTGGAGGAGGCGCGGGTTTGGCTGGTTACTGGCAACACGCTACCACTGCCGCGGGATACTGGCCCTCGTTGCTCGACTGCTGGACCACGCCGTCGATCGCTTCCGGGTCGCAGACTCTTTCTCTACCACGAGACGAGAACTGAGAACAGCGAGTGTCGTCCTGACGACGACGTTGCCCTCGAGACTGAAGGTCGCGATGGCCTAAGTCTGTATATTGCTGAGCACCTTCTTGCTTTTTCAAAAACTTTTCCTCGTTTGCTCCCTTGGTAGGTTTTGGAGAAGGAAGGGAAAGCTTTGGTGTTTAGGGCAGTTAACAGAAAGGGGTGCATCGCACTAGAGAAAAACGACGTTTAAACTGCATGTGTTGCGGTCCTCTTTGGGTCGATTAAGTCCCTTCCATGATCGTGAATTGATTCAGCATGTAATATATATTTGATTTTTTAAATTTGTTCTGAGATTAATGAAAGCTAGTGTCAATTGCTTGGTTGCAATTATTCTTCACTTCTTCTTCAGAACCGTATGAATTTCTCCACGTAGAGATAAGACAACCAATGGAGCAAGTGTCTCGCCATCAGGGTATAATTGTTTATAAATATTCAGAAAAGTTTAAGAAAGTCTTCCTTGCGATCAGCATGGTGTGTCACTCAATGGTCTCCCACGCACCTAACTTGCGCTCCACGCGTCAAGTCCTCGGCTGGCCACGCTGGTGTTCCTATGACGCAAAATATGACGAACACACACCACTACACGTATGGCCCAAACGTCGTTCCTTCAGATCCCAATAAACCAATTTCTGTTAATTGCTTCAAAGACCAAAGCTTTCCTTCTTCTATTTTTGTTTCGTTGCAAACTGTCAACGCGTTTTCAATTCTTCGAAGTCTCTTCTTGGGCAGGATGGTGTTTCGTGAGAAATTCGGACAACGACAGTCGTCATCCCTGACCGTGTGCTGTTCAATGTTCAATCCAGTCGACGTTCACCCGTCAAATTATTTACCACTATTTAACGACGTTCCTCCCAGCGTGATGGACGAACGAGAACAGCGTTGTACATAACATGTAAATGCACAGACGATCGAACGATTATATTAGTATATACATTTAATGTTTCGAGGTGCATGCTTTATCCGTAAAATGAACGAAATCGCGGATGACGTTCTCGTAACAAAAATTTTATGTTCTCGTGAACGATTGGGTTTGGCGAACTTTCGTTTGAAAACTGTATTAGGGAAGCGAAGAGAGTAATTTCTTAAAATTCATGAATTCAGTCGAATGGCTATCTTCGAAGCCACATTCGAACATTATATATTTACTGGAAGTGGATATAGTAGTGAGAACATTTGTAAAATACATTATTTTTTAATAACACGAAGTCGGAACACTATTTTCCTTTAACATAACTTCCATTCTTTTTCGAATGCGACTCGACACAGTTTCGGATGTTTGTTGTTTTCAGTTCCTTAGAAAAAGTGAGTCTCATCGCTTCCCTGACACACCACGTGGTGGAACAAATATAGCGATCTTAGTTTGGAGCAACGGAGAGCTGCAAACCGCTAAATAGGTTTCTCCCTGCATTATGGAGGTCTACTACGTACAGGTCAATTAAGCAGCATAGGCTACTTGCTCTTCGAAGCACATGCTCGGTTTAGAACGCCCAGGTCCACAAAATTTCATGGTCCAAAGATGATTCCATCGATTCACTCTTGAATTTAGGCACCAAAAGCCATAGCCTTGGCACTCTGCAGTTTCAACGTGGCCGCCGTATTCGTTCCAGCACGTACACCGCCACGGTCTTGGATAAAATACTCGAGTTGAAGTGCAATATTTCGTTAAACGTTTACCTTGCTTGCGTCCCTCGCGACACGGAATACTATCGTGCGTTTCGAAACAGAAATTCGCATGCAACGTCGATTTCTGGCGGGTCTTTCAAGACTTAACCCGCGAACTTAGACGTGTAAGGAAAAAAAGAATCGAGGACGAAGGAAACGGAAGAAGGAAAAGGTGAATGACTAATAAATGATCCCGCGCGGGTCACGTACTCACTATTCTGTAGATATATGTATAGTAGACGCTGATTTTACGCGGTTCGTAAATATCTATCGGAATTGTAACATTGTAATGATAATAATAACATTATTCAGCAGAATACCAAAAACCTTGCAGGCTGTAAGTAAAACGAAAAAGTGTGGGCGCCGTCGCCAGCCGCGAGCGGCGCTTTTGTACAGTGTACGAGGAAAGAAATCACTTTATCGACTAGGCGTACGTTATAAATATTATTAACATTATTGAGTAATTATAAAATTGTATTCGATATCCTTGCAGGGCGCGTGTACTCGAACTCTCGAGATACATCGATTCGATCCTCCTCGAAACGTGATTACCTTATTATTATCTTCGTTTGACTATATACAAACGAATGTATGCTATTATTTGTCGTTAATTGAACATTGTGACGCAGGAAAATTGAATACGAACAGATACGGATGCGCAGTTTTACAGATCGGAGTCGTCGGTTCGAGAACGACACTCGTTACACCAAAGAGATCCAACAGGGGAGAACTCGAGTCGATGAACCTTTAGAGTCGATTCATACGTAACGCTATACATCAAATATTGACGTAAGCTAGACGTAAGAAACGACCGTTATTTTGTATGAATCCCGATGTCGTACAAATGTTCGTCGTAAACACATATCCCAGTTCCCGCGGTGAGTGATTGCAAATGCCCGCAAAGAATGTTTTCATTCCCGTTGCCGTTTCACTCACTACGTGTAAACGTTCCTACTGGGCGATATTGAGCGCCGAAAGGCCCCGTTTGTAATCTAGTCACAATAAAAACCAATTCTATTCTAACCGAAGTCGTGACGCTCATTCACCATCGCCGTTCTTTTCAGGTGGCTCGAATGAATATTTGCAACTGTCTGTGAAGAAGTATTAGTATGTCTTTCGCTGCTTCATTATATGCAGAAACAGTACGTTGACTTAAGAATATTGGTAACGATTGTTCGAAGCTAGCAGAAGAAGAATAGAAAGTTTCTTAGTTGAGTATTTGCACATTTGTCGTGGACGTAATTTATATTTCTTATAATTGCATTTATAAAACGCGTTTTCAATATTTTGCACGCATTTTTTTAGCCTTGACAGACGCTTTTAGTGATGTTTTAGGGATGTTTACTTGGAATTGACTTCCTGTGATACTGGCTGAATTTCAGAACCATTCCTCGATACTAGGTAAAGTATACAAAATTCACCAATCGACATCTTGGTTAATTTGAGAGATCAAACTGACATTGCCCCTTCATAACAAATAAATATGAATGCATTAACATGGTTCCAGACACCGAAGAATCCACAGTCCCTTTTATCAAATACAAATATCCAATAAGAAAGCTTTTCAATTTAAGTTTGAACATCTTCAGGTGACAACTAGATATTGAAACAATGCTTGAGGTGATTATGTGATTATCCAGACTGATCTACCCAAGCAATTCGATTAAAAATGTACTGGGTGCAATAAACCACGTTCGAGTAGCTTTTTTCGATCGGCTCGTTCTAATTACACGCGATTGATATTTAATTAAGACAAAAGCCGCAGCAATGAATTCCGATCGATGATTAGGCTATTTATCGGTAGTTAGTCGCCCCATTATACCCTCGGACACTGAGGGGGCATCCATAACCTTCGGAATCTACATGCATACCAAGCGTGTAACGTGTTGCATTATGGTGGTCGGGGAAAAGCGATAAATTATGCACCCTCCCGTGGCACCCGAAGGGTCGCTCTCCATGCCTCGCAACCCCTCGTCCGCTAAACTAAACTAAACGTATATTACGATGATCGTCGTACCGTTAATGGTATGGCAGTCATAAGATATTGCAGTCCGTATGTTCCCAATTATATATACCGCGCCAGGATAATTCGCGCTATTCGTAAACGTTTCACTGGGACATCCAGATGTCATAGTTTTCGCAAGTAGGATCAACGTTTGCTTCATGAGACTATAAAATAATACATAAACTAATACAATCTGACTAGCATCGTATGAGTAGAATTCCTAGCAAAATTCCTATGTTTATTTTATATTTCATATCGTTATTTCCAAGACAACTGTAGAGAATAAAGGCTAAAACTTGACAATCTCATTTACAGAGTACAAAGAAATTTGTCTACCTTATGGAATGATTTATGCGTCGTATGACGTAGATAATGTTTTACTCATACTGCTTCCAGGTACGCGATGGAATGCAACACGATAGCCAAGTTACTATAATTAATGTTCTAATTCCATCGAGATTCCAACAGACGCTTAAAAACTTCTATTAATTATAGGTCCAATGTACAAAGAGCGTTTTATCTCTCTGCAACTTATCTTCTTCCGTAATCTTATCGCCAAACTGGCGCACGACACACTTAAACCAAAAATCTCCGCGTAGAATGAGGATTCTATTAAATTCCTTTGCACTTCCTCTCCGTGGCACGTGTTTCTCAATCATTCACCTTTCTTTGAATATTAGGGATAAATCAAACAGGAAAAAGCGTTCAATTTAAACATATTTCGAATAGTAGAAGCTCAACTATTTCCTTGTTTCGTGTACAACTAAGGAACTACGCATTTGTTACCTTCCCCTTCCATTCGTGCCTCGTTTCGCAAGAGCCTCTCTTCTATATCATCAATCTTCATCACGATCGTGTTGTAGCTAATTCTAGATATAAATCTCAGAAGCTCTAGTCAAAAATAGAGTTGATCGATGAATAAAGACGTAACCAGCAACGCGACAGATATTTATTTTAATAAACTTGAACTCAAGCCACAGCTGTCTCCTAATGGCGAGACACT